GGCTATTGGTGGGTATCCTTTACGGGGATGGTAGCTGGGGTGATTGTGAACAACTTTTTCCTTTGCCAAATTCCTCTTCGATGCTTAGTTTTTTAATTATTAATAAAAAACACTGAGCAATTGAAGCGCGCTTAGTGCGCAGGCGAGCGTTTTGGTACAGGAAGAAGTTGTTCATAATTACCCCAGCTACCACTCTCTCCAGATGTTGAAGTTTAATTTTAAGACTTCCTTTCAATATTCTCTATAAAGAAGCCAAAACTTTTAGAACCATGAGTTTAACTAAAAAATCTACATTCTATTAATAATATTTTGAAATTCTTCGTTTTAAAATAGCTACCGTGAATTGTTCTTTTTGCAGAAGAATTTTAAAATAAAATTTCAAATGTACTCACACTAATTGATTAACACATTCACTATCATCAATTTCTTTTTAAACAAAATTTAAAATTTACTTGCGTTAATTGATTCATTATTTCATTCAGAATATTTTGCAAATTCTTGGTTTTTTATTATTATATTATTATATTGATGGATGAATTTTCAATTGATCAATGATATTGAATGTGTTAATAACGTTATTAACGTTATCAATTGTTCGACCACCTATAATCTACACCATTTAAAATAAAACAAAGAATTCATCCTAATTCAAGCCAAAGTACTCACATAAATCTCTCTATTCTTAATCTTCTCCAAACCATTCTTCCGTTTCTTCTTACAATTTAACTCCTCCTGTATCTCTAACAGTGATTTACCTTTCGTTTCCGGCACCACGAGGACGATAAAAATGATTCCGAGGAAACAGGTAGCCGCGAACCAGCCGAAAGAAGCATAAACCCCATAAGAATCAGAAATAACCTGATACATCTTCGAAACGATGAACGCCAACAGAGATCCCCATATATTTGTCAATGACACGGCAACCCCCTTAACGTTCGTCGGAAATAATTCTCCAAGCATCATGTAAGGCAGTGGATTTAAACCTAACGCAATGATAAGTTCATAAAATATAACAGAGGTATGAAGAATCCATCCGAAACCAGTCATATTCACCCCCATCTGAAATTTAAGGAAATAAAATGTCCCGGCAGCGGTGAGGGACAGTCCGGCGAGAAACGTTGTGCTCAAAAGCAACGGTCTTCTTCCTAATTCATCGACCAAACCTGCAGCTCCTACGCCAGCTACTAGCTGAAGAAGGCTTAGGACGATCACAGCTGTTGCGGCAGATAAGCCGGTATCGTCGGCTTCCTCGAGAATCTCTTGAGTGTACGATTCCACCGCTGCTATACCGCTGAATTGCAGCACCAGTTGGAGGCCAAAGCTGATCAATACAGCTTTCCTGTTACCTGGAGTACTGAAGAGATCCCAGAAATGTCCTTTATCGGTCAGATCGCGGATCACCGTTTTCTGCATCTGCTCCATGTCCTCCTCGAGTTGATCCTCCGTCGCGTATCTCTTCAGACACCTCAGGCTATGCATAGCCTTATCCTCGCGGTTCTTCATCAACAGATAGTACGGCGATTCGGGCATCCAGCTGAACGTTAAGAAAAAGATTACCGGAATTACGGAGCAGCTGTAAGCCAACCATTCGTAGGAGACGAATGGTCCGATCGCATGGGCGTACAACTCGCCGAATGTCACCATTAATTTGATGAAAGAACCCAGGGATCCTCGGATCTCTTTGTCGGCTATTTCGCCGATGTACATCGGGCAAATGACGTATGTCATACCGAGGCCGACACCGCCGATGAATCTGGCGATGTAGAGGACGTATGGGCTCCATGCGAAAATTATTAGGATCCAGCTTATCGATAATGGTACGCCGGATATTATTAAGCTTGTTTTACGACCACACCAATTTACTATGAATGCTGAGATAGCACAGCCAGGTACTGAACCGAAGAGAACAAAAGAGGTGATCCACGAGGCATCGTCTGATGTTATTGGCAAGTGAGAATCCGGTAATTTTAATTTCGGTAAGGTCGGTGATGTCCAGCCGAAGTGGCAACCCGAAATCACCAACGACAAGGTGGCTGTGTTTGAAAACAGAGATAACAGTTCGCGTTAGAGGCGTAGAAGATTACATAGAACATGATATATTTAGAACTGTTTTAGAACTGTCCAAAGTTCCTAGAGATGTATCTTGTTGATGTTCATATACTTTGTCGGAGCAGAATCTTTGATATAGAATTCTTTTGGAAGGACAAAATCCAAATTGAAAATAATCATGGAAAATTACCTGTAATCGCTGCTAAGTATTGTGGCCAACATTTGATGCGCGATTTGTCCATCTTTCTTATATCTTCTTTCACGGACTGGAATAATAAAAATAAATTAATAATTCTTCTATAAAACATAATTTTGTGAGTTAATACTTTTTAAAATAATTCAATTAAATTGAAAACTTTTGCCGGCCAAATGTAAAAAATCCTCTTACTCAAAATCTCATTTTATGACATAAGTCAAACATAAACAATTTCAATGGATATAATTTCCTACCTGCAGTTTGAAAGATATATTATCAGCTGGTTTATAATGGTACTTAGCTACTACATACGTCTCCTCTTTCGTCGATGTAACCAAGTGTAAACAATTAATCTTTCAACTTTACATATGAATATATTAACAAGTTTCAAAATTTAAAAAGTCATTGTTAAAATATGAAAGATGTTGAAAATTTTGTATTGTTTTTACATTTTCTCTACTTCTAATTGCATTACTAGCAGTTATAAAGAATTTCAAACTTAATCATTTTTAATTTCATTTTGGTCCTCTTCAGAATTATTAAATTTTGACTATTTGAGACTGACAATGTATACAAACTTTATATTTTATAATGTTTAAATATTTCCGAATATTTATGACGGTTAAATTGAAGCAATCGTGGCAAAGTTGTATTCAAATTTATTTAACGGTAAATCCGGTCGATGCTTACAGAGATAACGATGAAACACGACGATGCCACCAGGAGGAAATACGGTTTCGTGCTGAAGTTCTTCGTGCCTCTTTCTAAGACATTATAGACGGAATGGGAATTCGATCATGATGTACTACATTTTATATATCACTTTATCAGTTGATCTTTATCACAAACGAATCCCCACTTTTCAACTAACGAAAATCAGACAGAAGAGCATGGGAAGTAACAGAGATTGAGAAGAAGTTGAATAAAAAATTTTGTTATTTAATCATTGTTTCGAAAATTTCAGACTCACCTCCATTTCTTTTTATTTTCTACAAAAAAGTATTGAAGCACTTGGGTCGCAAAATTATCAATTCAAAAGATATCTTAGGGAGAGACCTCCCTGTCTCTCCCTAAGATAATTTTTGAATTAATCAATTTTCGACCCGAGTGCTTCATACCTTTTTGTACAAAATAAAAAGACGCTTCGATTGATATATTACAAAGTGTACAATTCACGGAAGGAACTATTATAATCAAATATAGTTTCCTAAGAACATGCGGGTTTCAAGTAGCCTTGAATATGATTTAATTGTTTTTACACCAATGTATACATAAATCTATCAACTCGATACTTCTCATGCACTTAAACGAACCTGAAACTGTATATGTATATTTAAATAACACCCATGGACTTGGTCTTCTTAACCTTGAAAAGAATGAAAAGAATGATTAATTAGCTGTAAATAGAGATACAATGGTTATTACATATTTAAGGTAACGAATATATATAGATATATCTACAAAATAAATGATGCCCTTGTAAATCATACTTTTTTAAACAATTCCATTTTCAAGATACCGTATATTTTTCTCTAGCTTACCAAGATAAAGACATCGGTGAAAGATATTAAAAAGCTGAAATGTTAAAATATACAATGTTCTACTTTAAGCATCGACTATACCTGACTCTCATCTCACTGACGAAAGTTCGCATGATATGTACTCTATCTTGGTACTATGAAATTTTAATAATGTTAAGAAACGCAGTTGTATATTTACGTACATGTATCTTTAGATATCAGTATGATAAGAGCTATGAGCAGGAATATTTTAAGCTAATCTTAAATGTAACAGAGTTTAAGCTATTTGTCGCAGAATTTTTACCATAAAGAATAAGGAATAGAAATAAAAAAAAAAATAATAAACATCCCCGGTGCAATAGTGTATAATAGTTCTATGATATAATTATCACGGCCGTAAGCCTAAAGTTCGAAGAAGAAACTGATAACGCTACCAGTAATTAAGAAACATCTGTAGTATCGCAAATTTATCCTATAGGAAAATATTTTGCGAAGTTAATGATGTAAACAGCTGTCTATTAAATTAGATGCAAACAAGAATATAGATCTGAAGAGTCATTTATCAAATGGAACATGAATAAAAAATTTCCTTCAAAATAATGCAAACGAGCTAAATTAATACTCAAACTCTATAAAATTCTTGCAACAAATATATTTGATTAAATTTTTTCATTGATCCATTTTCAATATAATCTAAATGGAATTACTTATAATCTTTTTTAACCTTATGCTAATATATGTTTTACAGAAAACGACTGTGTACCGGATGTACTTATTATGACGTTGAAATTTATGACATTGAACGTTCAAGGAACAAATGTTTCGGTAACACTCAAATATTTTGTAAAAATCTTACATATCGTGGAAAAATAAACTCGTGCATACGTTATCTCTAATGTTTAATTTGAATCCGGCATAAAAAATACTAATCTATTTTACGTGTTATCGCGATACATTTATGATGCCTCTATTTTTTATTCCTGACAGAAACTAAACATTCCACAAAACCGGGTGGAACATACTGCGTTGTATTTCAGTTACAGTTAGCAAGATTTTATCAATATGCATAAAACTTCATTAAAAATGTACGTGCTTATAGAATGCTTTAAAAATTTCATTTAAAATTACACGTAAAAGTGTTTTTTAAATTTTAATCTATAAAAATATAAGCTTTGTTAGATTACAATTAAAACACTGATTAAATGAATGAATACATCGCATTTAAAATACTCAAATGAATATAATAAATAATATTTCATTATAATATGCCGTTATATAAAAATAAGCCAGTAGATCTACTTGTTACGTTTGTTTTTCGCGCGTAATGAATCGAACGAGAGATCGAGAGTTCGAATGCAGTCGATGTGTTGCAGTGCGAGCAGTCGCAATTGTCTGCCATCAAAGGAAGGGTGGCGATATATTTGTTCATTGCACCAGTTAATGTATACGTGTTTTTTTTATTAGTTTGCGGTATTAATAGCAAAGTATACGGATTCTCAGAATACCGTGATTCAAGAAATCGACGAACTCTCACGAGTGAATACACCGGAAAGAACAAAGCCCAAATACGAAGATGTGCGGCGGCTTTACGTGCTCCAAAAACGCATTGACGGCCCTAAACATCCTTTATATTGTAAGCAGAACTTTCAGCAACAGGATTGCTTGGACCACTTTCAACAAAAGCCTTCGGCTTGAATCATATTTTTATTATTGGAGGATTGTTCACTTTGCGACTGCGATTAAATAAATATTGTATCTGATTTTATCCAGTTCGAATTATAAATGATAATGATCTACTAATTGATATAATTTGTAAAAATGAAAAAACAATACACATTATTTGAATAGTTATTGTCTTATAATAACAGAGCCTAACTTGTTCATATAAAATTGTACTTTTCTGTTAATATATTATTAATAAATGTAGATCCAAAGATAATATTTACATTATTTTTTAATATATTTTTCAAATCACATATTTGTATTAAAATGTTTTAATATTTCAGGTTGTTGCATTTATTTTAATTGGTGTAGCTGTTTATGGAAGAGCTTCTGCTTTAGTTACAAATCTTCCTATAATTGGAGGAATTTTAGCATGCGGTGTGATCCTAATTCTAATTTCTATACTTGGTCTCATTGGTGCTGTCAAACACCATCAAGTTCTATTGTTCTTTGTATCCTTTTATAAAATAATATCGAGTACTTTACACTTTTCACACTCATTTATGTACATGTTCTATAGATTCTTTATGTAACATTTCATTTATTACATTTTGAGAAATTGATCCTTAATAATATTTTTAACAGTACATGCTTATCTTGTTCCTTCTGTTCTTGATTCAGTTTAGCATTGCTTGTGCTTGTCTTGCTGTTAATACCAAACAACAAGAACAGTTAGCAGAACAGGTAATATTAATGTTAATGATATTCTTATTACCATTAATACCATCATCATTTTATATAAAAAACATCAAATATGTTAATTTTAGGGCTGGAGACACGTTGAAGATGATTTAAGAGAAAAGGTTGAGACTACTTTCAATTGTTGCGGGTTTAATGATACTGTCAGCGTAGTTTTAAATGATAAAGAGCCAGTATCTTGCAAAAATGTAAGTCTATTTCACTGGTAAGATACTAAATATATTTCAATGTAAATCTTCTCTAATGTTATGTTTCTATGTTTCAGAAACGTTGCTGCCAATACCCTACTGATACTGAATGTGAATGTCCATCATGTATGCAGAAATTACAATCCACAATTGATTATGCTTTTAAATTATGTGGCAGCATAGGATTATTCTTCAGCTTTACAGAGGTAAATGTGAATAATTTTCTATTTCATATAGCATTATTATTTAGGGAAAATGTATTCATTTTAAGTGCAATGTGATAATTTTATGCTGCTTAAAATATAAATTACACTTGTCAACTGTTTCTTTGTTGCACTGAACAGTGTTATTTAGCAGATGTTAACTTGTATACCCATTACAGTTCGTTGGTGTTTGGTTGACCGTGCGGTACAGGAATCAGAAAGATCCACGAGCTAATCCTAGTGCTTTCCTCTAGTCTAACACCATCGCTATATCCTCTGTCACCTCATACGATCCTCCTAATAGATGGTGGGTGCTTTCATGTTGTGATCTTCTATTTTATATGTTATCATACAGATATTTACAAAAAACATTTTTTTATGTCACTCACGTATTGTATGTATAACACAGGTCTCAATGTAATGCACTAGTATATTAATTAAAACACGAATTACTGATTTGGTGTAAATTATACATTTACACTTTTTCAGGTGATCGCAGCTTTCTTGGCAAGACGGTACAGAAATCAATTAAAACCACATGAAAGCCGTTTTTTCTTAGCATAATTATTTTTATCGAGATAATTAATACACTTTACAGATAAAAATACTTTTTTTTTTATACAGAAGTGCTATAACTAAAAATATGAACGAATTACTCGACTCCAATTTTTGTTCGTGTTTAGTTAGGAATCAAAGAATTAATTACTTTTTTCCACAGTACAAACATCACATTGCATATAACACAATTCTCAAGGAACTGTTTGTCTTTCACTGCAGTTTATAATGCTCAACCGGGAATGGATACAATGCATTTGAAAAGTGGACAGTCATAGATTTTAGAACGCATTAGACAAACGATAGTTAAAATGTGTGCTCTAGTCATCCATTTAGAACAATTGTACTAAGCCTCAATGCGCCTTGTAGTTTAATACCTAGATACATTTGTGCAAGCGCGTTCCTGCGAAATTGAGTTTCTTCATTTGCCAATTTTTTTTTTTTTACAATGTGACCTTTACCCGCCATTTTTTACCCTATAACCTTATATTTAAAAAAAAAATTATAAATTTGTAAAAAATATGAGACTTTTAGTTAATTAATTTTTTTTCTTGAATAAAATCTTTTATGATTTAAATTCGAACAATAATTGAATCAGTATCTTTTGAAAATCCTTCGATACAAGGTATACATTGTATACATATTTTTGAAGCAGATTTTCTTTTAATTAAACTTCAATCAAACAAATCTTCATTAAATTACTTTAATCAGAAAGAATAATTTCACTAAGAATTACAAGATATTAATAGTGTTTCGCTATTGAATCAAATATATTGCAAAAAACAAATTAAATATGGCGTGATAATTAAAACAAGAATCTTTCATCTTGAAATATTATCATACTACTTGTCATATATATTAAAATAACATCTATTCCCTGTAATTTTCGTTATTTTTTTCATTATAATTTGTTAGATGTGTATTTGAACTTTACATAAGGTACGTTAAAAATATACTGTTGAATCTTTCAAATTATTCAACCTTCAATTATTATTATTATATGTATAATAATAATATTTTAATAGTTATACTTCCAGATATATTAGAATTTTCATTGTTTATATAGGTTCATTTAGTTCTGCAATTAGTTTAAATTTTAAGTACAAAAGATTCATAATTATACTTCATGCTTGAAATACATATTACAGGTATATTATAAATTAAGCATTTTAATCAAATATGCATTTCAATCTTGTGCACTGAAACTGCACGCTTCGTACGATTGTACGAAAATTCTAATTCACCAAATATTACCATTTAAATATTACTTTACATTCAGATTAGTACTTCAATATTAATTACTTTTTCCAGTTTTTATACCTTTTTATTTTCGTCAAAAATATATACTATAAACACTTGATAAAAATCATATCTGTAATTCACAGCATCTTTGTGCATATTATGTAACACAATAAAAAACAGAATTCAGTATGTTATGTATTTTAAACCAAGGAAATGATATCGAACTCAATAATATTTCGAAAATTAGAAAAAGAATTCAAAGGACATTAATCTGTAACAAGAGTATATCTTTTACCCAATCAGAGATTTGAATATATCAAGAATAACACTAATTGTAATGATAAAAGTAAAATACAAATTAAGATAAATGCGTGTTTAAGTACATAACATATTAATACATTCCTATATGTACATGCAGGGTGTTTCATTCAACTGAGTCAAGCTATTGCTTTCAAATGGTATAGGATAGAAAAATTAAATGGTGTCGAATAGAACATCGTGTGATGCATATGATAGCACTGAAAGTGGGGGTGTTTTAAAAATTTCGAGGTCATCTTAATTTTTTTAAATGGAATTGTGTATTGTACTATAAATCAATGGAAGTGTATTTTAATTCTCTATAAAAAAGTATAAAGACATTTGGGTCAAAAATTGATTACTTCAAAAGATATCTTGGGAAAAGACAAAGAAAAGTCTCTTTTTTGATGTATCGCAATATAATATTCGATAATATTCAATATATTCGAAAGTATACACTCCACTTCCGGTGCAGACACTTGCGTCACTCAATGCTTCATTCGACATTATTTAATTTTCTCTAAACATATTTCTTTCTATCTTATATCATTTTAGAATTATAACCTGACCCAGTAGGACACAACAACTTGTATAATTAATGAATATCTGCATATTATTAAATATAGGTATATTTCAGATGATATAGCAATAGTAAAAAGGTATTTCTTTTAAAATAGATCCATCTTACACTTAATGTAATGTAAACGAATTAACTAAGAAATTAGTTCGAAATTATTTGCAATTTCCGTATAGTAATCACTTTGCGTTCCAATTTTAAATGTAAAAAGCAGTGATGCTTTTAAATAGTCTTGATCATTCCATATAACTATTTTACAATTATTAGAAATATTTGTAAAATTTGGATAATTATTTACAAATGTTTGTAGTGTTGTTTTATATTAGTATTTTAAATATTGTTTTGTATTAATAATATGTTATGTGGTTCTGTAATTTGGTTTCTTTGAACAAATATATATAATATATCGCATAGTAAAATTACTTTACTGAATTTTTATTCTTACCCATATTCAATACATACTGCCCCAAAATGTAATATCTTTTATGGCCATGCAAACGTCGGGGCATTATATAAGTACATAATTGCATTCATTATTATTAATTACCTTTCCGTAAAATTGTATTTGCAATGTGGTACACTACAGAATCTCAAAGGCATAGTTCCTGAAAAAAATAAAATAGAGATTAAATAGAAAAAAAAGCATAAATTTCGCAGCCAATTCGCTCGTATTATTTGCTGCATAATTAATAACTGTACCATTGAAATAATGATACAATTATTAATAATTCATCAAATAATAACGATTGCCCAGGTCTCACCACGGGGAGGTTGCTGCGGGTGGAGACCCGCCCTACCTCATCCCATCCACCCTCCATTTATGCAAATTTTTACTTTTATTCAATAACATCATCCTCTTGGTGCACATTTGCAAAACGTTTCGACTGTTGTGCAAACGAACAACAAAAGGAGCATTGTTTTTATTCACTACCTACCTATCTACTTATCTATACATATATTTACGTAGATTTTTGCATTTTATTCCTATCGCAACATTTTTTAATTTTGATTTTGATTACAGATCTGTAATTAATAAATATGCAATTGTATATTTGTCCTACATACTTATACTACTAAGAACAGCTACTTATACGAGCGCTCGTAATTATATTAAAAATTCGCTTAAATCTAACGCTTCCTAATTAAACACTGCATTGTTTGACGATTATATCTTAATGACCATATACATAAATAAGTCCAAAGAATTTGTTGAGTTTGTTGTCCTCACAAGAATACTTCCTGAAATAAAACTGAGAAGGATTAAACATAATTTAAGAAAATAATGAGGCTGATGTAGCCTTAATCATAAATTTACAACCTGCCTGAAACAAACAGAAAAGGATTAAATACAATTTTTGAAAATAGTACGGTTCAAATATTACCACTTATGAGAATCATTTTTCCTTTTCAATCATTTTCACCTTGTTTTACTTAATTTGATACATTGAATTCCATTTATGGACGCTAGATTTTATATTACATTTCTTCCAGTCGATTATCCGATATTATTATTTCATACTTCCTATAAAGATATTTTTCTATAACAGAAACTGATTAATTGAATCCAGATAAAGACAAAGAAAAATTAGTAGCTGGAAAGAAGATACATTAGTAACAATAAAATTTTATAAAAGTCAGAGTGGTTGTTAATAACTCAAAATCAATTTGATACAAAATATGAATTTAAAGCAAACTTCAGTACCAAAATAAAGAGAAAAAAATTCAGAAAAATATATATTTGAGTTAAGTGATTTGAGTTAAGAACATTAATTATTTCATTTTATTGTATTTAATATTCGTTCATTTCGCGACAAATAGCACACAATATTTTAATTGAAACAACTGTCTTTTACTGCAATATATAGTACGTACAACCACGACTCTACTCGACTTTATTGCATTATATTATTCAATACACCTTTCAATGCAAATTTATTGTAAATGGAAAAACTGAAAAGAAACTCACGAATGGACTTTGCTTTTGAGGAAAAGAATTTGAAAACTTATAAAAGCAATTTAATTAGCTTCTCCGTAAGCATGAAACATAACATCGCGATCAAAAATTAAAACTAAAAACTCGAACAACAATTATCCACTACTTTTGTTTAAATAAAGTAGAATTAAAATTTAATAAGCTATCACGAATGAACAAATATTCCTTGAAATAATTTATCAACAATCATCACAAAATAAAATGAACTTTCATTTTAAATAAAACTTTGAATAAAGTTCTATTTAAAACTTTATTGTATTTAATAATACTCTAAAAACATGAAACTCATATATTATTTAACAGTATTTCCAACAACCGAATGCTCAAAATTTTCAAAATTAGAAAAAGGGAAGAAAAAAGAATGGGGACGTGGCAGTGGGAGGGAGGGTACAGGGGAACCTGAAAAGAAAAGTTTGACTGCCCATAAGAGCAATCCCTAAGCAAACCCTATAAAACAAACCGAAAACACACGCAACACTAATTTTAAAATTGCAAACATTCTGAACTATGACAAAACATCGGCTGGCAACGAAGGGTCTCACGCCCCCTAGACTTACGCCAGACGCTACATACCACCCACCCCGCCTGGACGTCGTAACGCCAGGACAGAGTGCACCCCTTCGCTAAGAGCGCTACCCGCCCGTCCAACACGTTGCATCCAACGGTGTCAGATTGACGGACGCCCATAGTATAGACAAAAGGACTGCAGTTTACAATATGGAACATATGGATATGCGCCATATTCTAAAGCTGCGCCTGCAAAGGCCTAGTAATGCATGGGTATATCTCCCAGAGATGGTGTTCACGGTCTTAGGCCGCGGAATCCTTGACTAGCAATGGATTCCCACCGAATGTGAGTCATAGTTACTTCCACTAATTTAATAAATGCAAAAAAGTAAAAAATTTAATAACAATCGCGAATTCATTCGCAACACTAATTTCATTAATTATATAATATGTACAAAGGCGTACGCGTGAAGGCTGCTCCATTATGCGCAACGCTAAGCTGAAAAAAAGAAAAAAAGAGAAAACGCGAACTGTAACGCAACACTACTCAAATCTACCGAATTTTGTAAGACGCAACACTAATCTAAAAAAGGGGTACAGCCAATCCAAGGCTGTACCACGGCAGCTGATCCATAGCTGCCTTATGGACCATGGCAACTCCACTGGATCGTTTTGGGGCATTTCTAATGCAAAACGCGAATATTCATTACCGCAACACTAATTAGCAGGGAACTCTATATATAAACTAATGCAAAGCAATCGCGTATTTATAAGTCGCAACACTGGGAAACAATCGCGCTAATGTCTATCGCAACACTATCTTTAACAGACATGCAATTAAAATGCAGAAAAGGGGGACTCTCAAACCGTGAATTTTTTACTCGCA